GTTTGGGATTGGGGATTTGGAAATTTGGGTTTGGGAAGTTGGGATTTCGGATTTGGGAATTGGGATTAGGATTGGGAATTTGGGATTTCGGATTTGGGATTTGGGATTGGGATCGGGGATTTGGGCTTGGGATCCGGATTGGGATTGGGGATTTGGATTGGGATTGGAATTTGGGATTTCGGATTTGGGATTTGGGATTGGGATCGGGGATTTGGGCTTGGGATCCGGATTGGGATTGGGGATTTGGGATTGGGAATTTAGGATTTGGAAATTTGGGGTTGGGACTGGGGATTTGAGATTGGGATATTGGGACACCAGGGTCTGTTACGGACCCCGGGGACTGCAAGGAGGGACAGGGTGGGCAGCAGGGGCCTGTGGGGACCCCAGGAAGGGGTTCGGGGTTCCGAGGAGCCGCAGGGGTTTGGGTGGGGGTCCCGGGGTCGCCGTGGGGCTGACCCAGGTTCTGTCGGGCGGCCAGGAAGCGCGCGGGCTCCTTGACGTTGTCGGCGAGCAGGAAGGCGCCCTCCTCGAGCACGTCCAGCAGCATGGTGGCCGTGTGCGCCTGCTCCGAGCCGTTCATGTCCCGCCACGACTCCAGCGCCTCGGGACGCAGCAGGTTGTCCACGGCCTCCACCACGGCCTGCGGGACGGGAGGGGTGGGCGGGGCTCCCATGGGACACACCCACCCAGACAGACCCCACCCATGGGACACGCCCACCCAGACCCTGCCCACGCCCACGTGACATGCCCTTCCAAGCTCCACCTATCGTCTCTTAGCCACACCCCGCACAAAACCTCCCAAATCCCCCAGACCCCGCCCATGCTGACCATGCTCATCTCCCAAAGCCCCGCCCACCTATTATCACACCGAAGCCACGCCCATGCAGATTCCACCCCCGAATAAGCCCCACCCACCAGCACAAGCCCCACCCATTTCATAGCCCTGCCCCTGACATGCCCACCCACTCAAGCCCCACCCACAAGCCCTGCCCACCACACCCTGACCACACCCACACAAGCCCCACCCCTTGTTCACGGCCACGCCCCTTCAGGCCACACCCCTCACCTTGATGTAATCCTTGCAGGTTCGCTCCCGCTTGTGCATCTGGGGGGACAATAAAATGGGGGAGGGGACACCCAGGTGAGGGGGTGGGACCCCAAAACCTGCACCAGGGGCACCCCAAAATCCACAACAGGATCCTCCCAAAATGCAGGAAATAACCCCAAACTCTAGGGCAGAACAGCCCCAGCATTTGGGGCAGAACAACCCCAACATTTGGGGCAGAACAGCCCCAGCATTTGGGGCAGAACAACCCCAGCATTTGGGGCAGAACAACCCCAACATTTGGGGCAGAACAGCCCCAGCATTTGGGGCAGAACAGCCCCAACATTTGGGGCAGAACAACCCCAACATTTGGGGCAGAACAGCCCCAGCATTTGGGGCAGAACAACCCCAACATTTGGGGCAGAACAACCCCAACATTTGGGGCAGAACAACCCCAACATTTGGGGCAGAACAACCCCAACATTTGGGGCAGAACAACCCCAGCATTTGGGGCAGAACAGCCCCAGCATTTGGGGCAGAACAACCCCAGCATTTGGGGAGGGACTCCCAAATGCGGAACGGGAGAAGGGGCCCAGCACAGCGACCCCAAAAATCTGGGCAGCAGCACCCCAAAATTCGGGGCAGAGCGTGTTTGATCTCTAGAAAAGGAGCCCCTCAATGTTTGGGCCAGGACAACCCCAAAATTCAGAGCAGAACCCCAAAATCAGCCAAAACCCTCAAAAATAGGGTTCAGGTTCTGGAGCAGGGGCACCCAAAACTGGGCACAGGCACAAGTTCCCCCTTGGCCACCCCACCCCTCAATAGGGTGACCCCAAAATCGGGGGGTTTGGGGTCCCACCTTGTCTGAGTTCTTGCTGTAACTCTTCCTAATCTGGTGCTCAAAGCTCCCAAAATTTTTTTTTAAATAAAAAAAAAATCTCCATAACATTAACCAAAAAGCTCCTTCTCCCCTTAAATAAACTAAAAAAAGAAACTCTTTTAAAAATAATAAACTAACAACAATTTTAAATTTGCTTTCCTTTCTTTACATTATCAGTTTTAAAAAAATTGAAAAATTTTATTCTATTTCTTTTTACTCTTTCTTTTAATTACTATTAATAATTTTTTCTTTATACCCTTTTAGTGTTTTAAACCTCCTTTACCGTTCTATAGTATTATAAATGCTAATTAACAATTATTATTTAGATAATAATTATTACTAATAATTAAATACAAACAATTAATAAACACTAATAATTAACCAACACTAAACCCACCACACTCATTAACACATTACCCAAAAAAACCCTAAAAAATAACAAAATCTCAAATTAACACCCCAAAACCACGATGAGCTCCCACCTTGCTGTAGTTTTTTGGTGCTCAGAGCCCCTCAGCCTCAGTCCCCTCTGGGTCCCACCTGCTCCCCCTGGTCCCCCTTTGGGCTGAACCCCAAATCGGGGTTTTGGGGTCCCACCTGTTCCCCCCTCAGTCCCCCTTTGGGCTGAACCCCAAATCGGGGTTTTGGGGTCCCACCTGTTCCCCCTCAGTCCCACAGAAATCTGAACCCCAAATCGGGGTTTTGGGGTCCCACCTGTTCCCCCTCAGTCCCCCAGCAATCTGAACCCCAAATCGGGGTTTGGGGGTCCCACCTGTTCCCCCTCAATCCCCCAGCAATCTGAACCCCAAATCGGGGTTTTGGGGTCCCACCTGTTCCCCCTCAGTCCCACAGCAATCTGAACCCCAAATCTGGGTTTTGGGGTCCCACCTGTTCCCTCTCAGTCCCCCAGCAATCTGAACCCCAAATCGGGGTTTTGGGGTCCCACCTGTTCCTCCTGTCCCCCGCAGTGGTCTGAACCCTAAATGGGGGTTTTGGGGTCGCACCTTGTTGTAGTTTTTGCCCACAGACTCCCTCTCGAGCGGGCGCAGCGCCTGCAGCTGCACACCCAGGATGTGCCACCACCGTGTCCCCACTGTCCCCTCCTGTCCCCTGTCCCCCTCTTTTGGCTGAACCCCAAATCCGGGTTTTGGGGTCCCACCTTGTTGTAGTTTTTCCCTGCGGACTCCCTCTCGAGCGGGCGCAGCGCCTGCAGCTGCGTGTCCAGGATGTGCCACAGCCGTGTCCCCACTGTCCCCTCCTGTCCCCTGTCCCCCCCAGTGGGCTGAACCCCAAATCCGGGTTTTGGGGTCGCACCTTGTTGTAGTTTTTGCCCGCGGACTCCCTCTCGAGCGGGCGCAGCGCCTGCAGCTGCGCGTCCAGGATGTCCAGGAGCTGCTCCAGCAGCCGCACGGCCGAGCTGACGTCCCCCGCGAACACCGGGCCCCGCGTGTGCCGCGCCAGCTCCCCCGCGATGGACGCCGCGTTCTCCCCGCTCTTGATCTGGGGGCACCCAGGCTCAGGGGGCTCCCCGATATCCCCCGGGGCGTTGGGGTCCCACCTGTTCCCCCTCAGTCCCCCAGCAATCTGAACCCCAAATCGGGGTTTTGGGGTCCCACCTGTTCCCCCTCAGTCCCCCAGCAATCTGAACCCCAAATCGGGGTTTTGGGGTCCCACCTGTTCCCCCTCAGTCCCCCAGCAATCTGAACCCCAAATCGGGGTTTTGGGGTCCCACCTGTTCCCCCTCAGTCCCCCAGCAATCTGAACCCCAAATCTGGGTTTTGGGGTCCCACCTGTTCCCCCTCAGTCCCCCAGCAATCTGAACCCCAAATCGGGGTTTTGGGGTCCCACCTGTTCCCCCTCAGTCCCACAGAAATCTGAACCCCAAATCGGGGTTTTGGGGTCCCACCTGTTCCCCCTCAGTCCCCCAGCAATCTGAACCCCAAATCGGGGTTTTGGGGTCCCACCTGTTCCCCCTCAGTCCCCCAGCAATCTGAACCCCAAATCGGGGTTTGGGGGTCCCACCTGTTCCCCCTCAATCCCCCAGCAATCTGAACCCCAAATCGGGGTTTTGGGGTCCCACCTTGTTGTAGTTTTTGCCCACAGACTCCCTCTCGAGCGGGCGCAGCGCCTGCAGCTGCACACCCAGGATGTGCCACCACCGTGTCCCCACTGTCCCCTCCTGTCCCCTGTCCCCCTCTTTTGGCTGAACCCCAAATCCGGGTTTTGGGGTCCCACCTGTTCCCTCTCAGTCCCCCAGCAATCTGAACCCCAAATCTTGGTTTTGGGGTCCTACCTGTTCCCCCGGCCCCCCCAGTGGGCTGAACCCCAAATCCGGGTTTTGGGGTCGCACCTTGTTGTAGTTTTTGCCCACAGACTCCCTCTCGAGCGGGCGCAGCGCCTGCAGCTGCGTGTCCAGGATGTGCCACAGCCGTGTCCCCACTGTCCCCTCCTGTCCCCTGTCCCCCCCAGTGGGCTGAACCCCAAATCCGGGTTTTGGGGTCGCACCTTGTTGTAGTTTTTCCCCGCTGACTCCCTCTCGAGCGGGCGCAGCGCCTGCAGCTGCGCGTCCAGGATGTCCAGGAGCTGCTCCAGCAGCCGCACGGCCGAGCTGACGTCCCCCGCGAACACCGGGCCCCGCGTGTGCCGCGCCAGCTCCCCCGCGATGGACGCCGCGTTCTCCCCGCTCTTGATCTGGGGGCACCCAGGCTCAGGGGGCTCCCCGATATCCCCCGGGGCGTTTGGGGGGCGCCCGCGGCTCAGGGGGGCTCCCTGATGTCCCCCAGGGGGTCACAGGGGGTCTGGGGGGCGCCCGTGGCTCAGGGGGGCTCCCTGATGTCCCCCAGGGGGTTTGGGGGGGCACCCATGGGTCAGTGGGAGGGTCCCTGATATCCCCCAATGGGTCTGGGGGTGCACCCAAGTGTCAGGGGAGGTCCCCAATGTCCCCCAGGGGGTCTGGGGGGGCACCCATGGGTCAGTGGGGGGGGTCTTTGATATCTCCCAGGGGGTTTGGGGGGGCAACCGCAGGTCAGGGAGCTCCCCAATATCCCCCAGGGGGTTACAGGGGGTCTGGCTCAGGGGGGGCTCCCCGATATCCCCCAGGGGGTTTGGGGGACCCCCTGAGTGGGGACCAGCCCCCTCTGTGGGGTGGGGATGCTCGGAGGGGTCTCTAAGGGGAGGTTGAGGGGTTTTGGGGGATCTGGGGGGGTTGCTGGGAATCTGGGGGGGCACACACAAGTGAGGGGGGACTCCCCCAAATCCCACAGGGGGTTTTGGGGGACCCCCTGAGTGGGATCAGGCGCCTCCGTGGGGTGGAGATGCTCTGAGGGGTCTCAGGAGGGCCATGAGGATTTGGGGGTCCGCAGCTGATCTGGGGGGTCTGCAGGGGGCTGGGGGGGAACCCCCACATCCGCCAGGGGGTTGGGGAGGGTCGGGGACCCCCTGAGTGGGGAGCAGCCCCTGCAGAGGGAGGGACACCCCAGGACCCTCCAGGCAGGGGTTTGGGGGTCCCAGGGGACCTGGGGGGGTCACTGGGACAGGAAGGGTCCTGAGGTGGGTCCCCAGTTTGGGGAGCCCCCCTTCTCAGGGTGTCCCCATTTCTGGGGGTCCCTGTTGGGGTGGTCCCCATTTGGGGCAGTCCCTCTTTTGGGGTATCCTCACTTAGGGGGGTTCCTCATGGGGGGGCTCCTGTTTTGGGAGTATCTGCATTTTAGGGGGTCCCTGCTTGGGGGGGTCCTGGCCAGAGGCTATCCCCCTTTCTGGGGGGTCCTGGTTTTTGGGGGATTCCTGTTTAGGGGTGTCCCCTTTGGGCGGGTCCCATTTTGGGGGATTCCTGTTTAGGGGTGTCCCCTTTGAGCAGGTCCCATTTTGGGGGATTCCCGTTTAGGGGTGTCCCCTTTGGGCGGGTCCCATTTTGGGGGATTCCTGTTTAGGGGTGTCCCCTTTGGGCGGGTCCCATTTTGGGGGATTCCCGTTTAGGGGTGTCCCCTTTGGGCGGGTCCCATTTTGGGGTCCCCCGGTACCTTCTGGGCCACCTGGTTGACCCAGGGGCTGGTGCAGTTGCTCAGGTCGGGCCCGCGGGGGTTCCACACCCCCAGCCCCAGCAGGCACTGGAAGGAGGCGATGCCTGGGGGGCACAGGGGGCTCAGGGGGGCTCAGGGGGACCCCACATTTCCCTGAATCCCCCACTGCCCCCTCCCCACCCCACAGAATCCCCAGCCCCACGTGGGAGGAGGCGATGTCTGGGGGAGGGGATGTCTGTCCCCCCAGTTCTCCCAGTTCTCCCAGTTCTCCTAGCCCCTCCAGTCCCCTCCCAGTCCCTCCAGTCCCTCCCAGTCTCCCCCAGTCTCCCTCAGTGCCCCCAGTTCTCCCAATCCCTCCCAGTTCTCCCAGTCGCCCCTGTTCCCCGTGTTCCCCCCC